TCTTGCAAAACTTTCGTCGTGCTGATTGTACTAAATCAAAAGCCCTTTGACATGGTGAAAGTACGTGCAAAAATAAAGCGGAGCATTCCTTAATATGAGAGGAAAACGATAAGAAAATGCTATCATAACAAAATTACCGAATCCTTCTGCCAAGATTACTTCTTTCTACATGCGCCGAGTTAAAAATCCTTTTACATGATGAAAGTACATGTGAAAATAAAGCGGGGCACTTCTCAATATGAGAGGAAAACGATAAGAAAATGCTATCATAACAAAATTACCGAATCCTTCTGCCAAGATTACTTCTTTCTACATGCGCCGAGTTAAAAATCCTTTTACATGATGAAAGTACATGTGAAAATAAAGCGGGGCACTTCTCAATATGAGAGGAAAACGATAAGAAAATGCTATCATAACAAAATTACCGAATCCTTCTGCCAAGATTACTTCTTTCTACATGCGCCGAGTTAAAAATCCTTTTACATGATGAAAGTACATGTGAAAATAAAGCGGGGCACTTCTCAATATGAGAGGAAAACGATAAGAGACAGTTACTATCATGACACTGAATCTTTTTGCAAAGATTAGTTCTTTCTACATGCGTATTGACTTGACCGAATCAAAAATGCTTTTGTATGGTGAAAGTACATGCAAAAATGAAATAGAGCATTCCTCATTCAAGGATGAAAACGATGTAGAACTATTGCTATCGTGACACTGATTTCCTCTTGCAAAAATTACAGCGCAATTACTGCTCCAATTTATATGATAAAATTGGCTTTTTAGTATGCGGCATTCATTATCACTTATACTTTCACGCTGTAAAAGCATTTGCAGTTTTATGTATGCAATTAGAAGAAAAAAGTATTCTACGAAAATGAGCCTAGCAGCATCGTCTTAAAATGTAATACTTAGCATCGCGTCATCTGTGATAAGCGCTAATTATAATTATATATTTCTCTCAAGGTTTGAAGCTTTAATGATTTTATTAAACACGCGCATTACAATAAGGATGACCTTAAATTATCATCTTTAATGCTTTGAAGCTTCTCAAGTTTAATGCTACATAACTTATAACACAATATGCTTAAGTGTAATAAAAACAGATTTTTAATGGATATTATTGTGAATATTGTGTAAAAAATAGTATTTTATATTGCTTCATAGAACTGGACATATCAGGTTGTACATATACATATATACATATGCATACATACACATATATAGTATATAATTTCTCGAACCTTTTTACATTAGAACATTATAAATTCACGGAAACATTATTTAAATATTAATTGTTGCTTAGTGGACGGACGAAAGCACGGTAAAATAGGACATCGACGTTTGTATTATCTTCAAGATAAGAACATTAGAGTTTTTAAAGAAACTTAATACGGCATGCATCGTAACAAACTAAATACATTTGATTTTAATGAATTATATATGCAATAATTCTTTCCTCACCGTGGTGAAACCTTGCAGAGAAAAAATAAACACCTTGCCAGCACTCAAAAACTTGGGTCGCAGGCTCCTTTGTAATACGTCCAGAATCAGCCTTTGCGACTTTGCAGATTTCTTATACCAGGTGCAACTATATCTACAAAGTTTTAGGATTTTACGAGTATTGTTTTCAACTAACAAATGTTTCACTACTTGAACTTATTTACTAAGAAATTGTTTCAAAATTATTACGTCTGTCTTACATTTTGTCACGCATTAGCAAACTGTGATCTATCAATCTTTGGCCTTCCCAACAAAATATGAATAAATGAACCATTTGTGCTAATACATAAAGTACATATCTCACGGCTTCCACGGTGTCGCCTGATCGCAACGTAACCTCGAAAAAGGTAAACATAATATTTCGTAAGTCTGATTTTATTAACTTGATTATAATTAGAACCGTAATCGGTGACGCGTCACTGCATCAGTGATGGAATTGAATTGTTATCGCATGCATCGATAAACTCATCACATCGAAAGGTGCATTTAATTCCGAACACTGCACTACACCAAGATTGAAGGTATAAGAGTATCGTAAATATTTCTTAAAAATTAGGTACATACTTGAAATAATGTAATACTTATTCCTATCGTCACTACCAGTAATTCTATTCCGATATTTAAGGAGAAGGTATTTTCAAGATGTTCCGCGAATCTATAGTAAAAACGCATTATAGTGTGGCAACGTTCTTACAGCAGCGTCAATATTTTTAAAAAAGATGTTTTATTGTTCCGCTGTATCATTTATTAATATCCGTTATATTAAACATCTTTAATTAAAATTTTTTCAGTACAAATGTCGATACTGGGCATTCCGTTTAGCACAGTTTTTAATAATTTTCTAAGTCAAATATATCTTTAGAAATCAACTTTTCATTAAAAATAAATTCATTTTAAAACCGTGTAAAATGTAGCACACAAATTCCTCTTTAATTACTTATTAACTCATTAAAGACCATAACTAATTCAGTTGGGATATCATCCAAATGACATATGGAATTTTCTGCTACGATAAAAATAACAATTTCGGCAGAAAAAAGTTGCAAAAAGAATTTGTTTATAACAAAATTATTTAAACAACTTATTTAAAAATTATTTTTTTAAATATTTGATGCTGCCAATCAATTCCGCTTTGAAAATTATATTGAAAACATGTATATGTTCAAAGTCGGACCCCTTTCTGTTATCAAAAAATAATAAATAATTTCATATAATATATGAAATTATCTCTTACTGTCCATGGCTAACTCAGATAAAAATAACAATTTCGGCGGAAGAAAGTTGCAAAAAGAATTTGTTTATTATTTTTTTTTATAACAAATAGGAGTCCCTTTGAACATATCATACATGTTTTCGATCTAATTTTCAAAGCGAAATCGATTGACAGCATTATATTTTCAAAAAAATAATTTTTTAAATAAGTTGTTTAAACAATTTTGTTATAAAGAAATTCTTTTTACAACTTTTTTCCGCCGAAATTGTTATTTTTATTATACTAGAGGATTCCATATGTCATTTGGATGATATCCCAGCTGAGTTAGTCAGAGGCTGTAATGGGTTAATTAAAAGTTGTTGGTGCCAATATTCTCGCAAAAAAAAATTGATCTCGCCTTAACACATCCGTTATTGGAAAAAACAAAACACTTATATCTTGTACTATAACGCAATATATAGTATATAATATATAATGTGTGATATATAGTATACAGTGCAATAAACAATGCGATATACAATGTTGCATACTCACTCTAGAGCCGCCCAGTGCGCGTTCACGCAGCACGCCATTCTTTTATTATACGTGTCACCCAGATCGTTATTAACAATCTTGACATCGTCGATATCCTTGCGTACCAGACTCCCAAAACGAAATCTGCAAATTGTTATGCGGCTCTTGCCACTGAGAAGCCGAATCATCACGTTAAGATAAATAATAAATATGTATACACGTTACGCTTACCCTGCCACGGCGAAGATACCACAAACATGTTCGACGAAGGTCATGAACATGGTATCGTAAGCAAGAAGTACCATTAAACATATATGAATAGTTATGACACCTTGTAAGAAGATATAAAAGAAATATTTTCTTTCATCAACGAAATAATAGGCCTCGTAAGGTAGTACTATAGGGCGGGATTCGTTAAGTGGTAATATAACGTCCAGTATGTGCGGTATGAGTGCGACTGACACGAATATAATACAAGTTATTAGACATATGGCTGTAACAAATGTTTGCTGATAGTCGATTGTAAGAGAGAAAGACAGAGAGAGAGAGAGAGAGAGAGAGAGAGAGAGAGAGAGAGAGAATAAAAAATATGATATATTTGCGTCCTTACTAAAATAGAAACGGACGATCCATCTAGCACTTGCAACGTAAGTCATCATAATTTCGTACTCTTGTTGATTCCGCAGTCTTTTCCAATCGATGAACACGCGATCAGTGAGAGCTTTAATCTAGGTATAATATCGTCGATAAACATGAAATTAAGTGCTTGACGCGAACGCTAAAAGATCTTAGGAATTCGCGAGAGACAGCGTCTTGTTCGACGCCAATTTAAGCTTATTAATCACGTACTTTATTAGACCTCAGGTTGCCCATATACAGCTTCAATATTATCACTAGTACTAATATGTACACCGGCACAGTCCCGAAAATACAGTTTAGGTCTTTGTTGCAATTGAAAAACTTGCACACCTAGAAACGTCATTGCTAATCGCCTCAAATGTGAAAATAATTCCGGTGCCCTGCTCTAACCTGTGGAACGTGCATGACAAGCACAGCCGTCGTCGTTATGCTCATCCTTAATAGCTTCTCTTTTTTGTTCTGGTAAGGCCATTGACCGACGAGACTTGAGAGTCTCTTCGTGAAGCCATGATAGCGATCCCAACTGAACTCCATGCCTTTCGAAACAGTGTTTCGTTTTCGGCTACCGACGGCGTACTGGATCTCGAATTTTCCCCTTCGGCGTGAGAAACGAATCAATAATTCACACAGACCACGGAACGCGTACGTGAATGACAAAGTGCTATACACGCATCAACGTTACCTACTCGATTTCTGTAGCGCACGTGCCGAGTCTCATGGTAACAAGGGGATACAATTTTTTCCGCATGGAAAGTGTCAATAAAAATATATTCAACGAAAAAATAAATTCTCCTTACTGTGGGAGGTAAAATGAACTCTTCTTTTTCTCTGAATAGAATAGCAAAAACGTTGCGCGTGCAAATCATAAAAATTATACGTCTTTTCGCGAGAAATGCTTCTTACAAAATCTTCTCTTGGTGGCTCTTTTTCTGATAAATTTAGTTTCGCGCGTATTGTTAATGGTGAGGGATAAGGTGAATTTTTTTTAGGAATACTTTTCTTCGTTATAACAAGCGTGATCTGTGCCTTCTACTACTTGGTAAATTTAATTTATTATCTCACTTGAGGATTGTACAATTTTAGTAGATTATTAAGTAATAATCGTATGATTATTAAGTATAGTAGTTATTAAATAATAATCGTGTGATTGTTATTTAATAACTGTTACGTTTCTCTTCTTGTTACATATAATATATTTAAAACTTATTATAACATATTTAAAGAGTTATGATTTTTGTGTTATATCAACTGAATGTACTTTCAAGAAACGATCTAAAAACATTCGTACGTTAACCTGCTTTAGGTACAATTTTTAAAACAATTTTTAATGGAAGGTGTTATATTGCATTCGGGTATAATGGCATGTTATTATATACACATGTAAGTCTATCTCATTGTCGTTCTCGTGAATTGAGTAATCTCGCAATCAGGCGCAAATGTAATATTCGCGCTTCAACAATCACGATTGATCATTCCAGAGATGCAAGTACCGTGAAGTATGACATCGACGTTTGTAGAATCTTTAAATTGAGGAAATATTTCTTTCAAATTAAAGAAGCCGCTATTTGTCACGGTTCAGAAACACTTACGTAGTGACCCATTTCTACCTTACCGTGGTGAAGTTTTCCATCGAGAAGATGTAAATCTTGCCGGCGCTCATGAAGGTGGGATAAATACTCTTCTTCAACACGAACAGAAGCATCCTCTGCGACTTCACAGGTATCTCGTACCAAGGGATGTTATAACTGCAATGTTATAACGCAATGAGATACACCGATTGAATATCGGGTGTAGCTGATGATCTTCACGGAATCCTTCGTCCTTACATCTTCTCGCGCGTCTGAAGACTGTGATCTATCAGCTTTTGCCCTTCGAAGCTGAGGCAGAATAGGTGGATCAGTTGAGCGAGCACGTAGACGATATATCTCACCGCTTCTATCAGGTCGCTGAGTTCTAGCGTAATCTCGAATCCGAAAAATAAAACGATTTAATTTTCCTTACACCGATTCCCAGCAAACATGATGACGCGTACAAATGACGTGTTAAAAGCGTAAGCGAAATCTATTTAGAGAAAGACTCTAATAAAGTAAGCGAATCTATTTCGGAACAGCGCCTATTTCGAAACACTTTAATTTTTTTCCTGCATTAGCCGTCAAATAATATCAAATTTTCATATTAGTAACAAAGAACATGTTCTGAAAATTTTATATTATTTGACGGCTAATACAGGAAAAAAATTAAAATGTTTCGAAATAGGTGCTGTTCCGAAATAGGTTCGCTTACTCTAACGGACCAATAATAAGTAATGACGTTAGAGACGTCATCAAAACTTCATGTATTTGGACAAATATATCGTTCGCTGCTTTGCAAAAACCTCGGCAGAGTAGCTTGCAAAATCTTAAATAAACGAACACGTACTTGTATCAAGGTAATGCTAACCATCACCGTAATCATCACTATCTGTATCGCCAGGGTTAACGAGAAGGTGTCCTCAAGCAGCTGGGCAAAACTACGGCGAATCAGCAGAGAGAGTGAGCAATCCATGATTAATAGAAATTTACAATCTTTTACATTCTATACACCCACTGTAAAGCCCTCCAGTGTGCGTGCACCGAGAATACAATTCGTTTGTGATAATGGTCGCTTGGTCGATTGCGGGCGACCGTCACGGAATTCGTGCGCTCGCACGTTAATTGCTCGAACCGAAATCTGCAAGCGTTTACGTGACATTCACATGCATTACAACGTGGACACTCGGCGTTCGCAATAACGCTCGCGCCGTAAATCGCACTCACCCTACTATCGCGAAAATGCCGCAGACGTGCTCGACGTAAGTCACGAGCATGCAGTCGTGGGCGACTATCCCGATCATTGCGACCTCCCAGGCCACGACAGCGTGCCAGAAAATGTAGTAAAAGTATTTCCTGTCGTCGACGAAGTAGTACGCCGGATACGTAAGTATAAGGGGGCGAGTTTCGTTGAGGGGTAACACGGCGTCCAGGAATTGCGGTATGAGCGCCATCGACAAGAACATATACAGCGATATGAAGCAATACACTGCAACGGACAAAGTTGCGGAAGCAGCCGACGATCGTTAGATTTCTTGTTTATATTGGGAGTACAAATTAGTTCGGTCCGTTTTCAAAAAATGGCTCTGGCTGTTATGAATGTTTCGTAGTGACAGCTGATTTCGGTGGTTTCAGAGAGGTTAGACATCTGTCAATAATATTCAGTTTATATCGCTTTGAGTTTCATACAAAACCCCTGTTTTTTACTGTGTTGAATATGTCAAATTTTGTGTTAACTAAGCAGCATTTGCGGGAGGTTTTCTGCTTTAATTGGAAGAAAAGTGCAGCTGAAGCGCATCGAACGCTTGTAGAAGTTATGGTGACAATGCTCCAATTGATAAATCATGTAGAGAATGGTTTCGACGTTTCAAGAAATGGTGATCTCAGCGTTGAAGACAAGCCTCGCTTTGGACAGCCAAAAAAATTCGAAGACAAAGAATTGAAGACATTACTCGATGAAGATCCGAGTCAAACGCAAGAGGAGCTTGCAGAATCATTGGAAGTTACGCTTTGTTGATTCGTTTGAGCCGTGCATTACGAGAAAAACGGTCAGAATACGAGCAAAGACATGACAAAGTTATTCTTCTGTATGATAACGCTCGGCCTCATGTCGCCAAAGTCGTAAAAAATTATTTGGAAACGCTCAAGTGGGATATTTTACCGCACCCACCGTATTCGCCGGACATTGCTCCTTCTGATTACTGGTTGTTCCGACGGATGCAGCACGATTTGGCAGGTCACCGGTCCACTTCTTTCGCAGAAATCGAAAATTAGCTCCTAACTTGGATCGTCTCAAAAGACGAAACATTTTTTCGAGATGGAATTCGAAAATTGCCTGAGAGGTGGGAAAAAGTAGTAGCCAGCGATGGACAATACTTTGATTAATCTGTTCATTCATTTTGTTCTGAAATAAATGCATTTTTACCACAAAAAACGGACCGAACTAATTTGTACTCCCAATATTACATTGAGGAAAAAAGCGGTTGGGTGGACAAAATCGACGGTCACCAGCCATCAAAGGAATATTGAATATTGAATTTAACAGAATACAATGTTAATGCAACAATAAGTTGCGTTGAAATCACTATATCAACTTATTGTTGCATTAACATTGTATTTTGTTAAATAGATTCAATATTTCTTTGATGGCCGGTGACCGCCGATTTTGTCAATCCAATCGCTTTTTCTTTTCAGTGTAGATTTTGTCATATTGTAAATCGCAAAATAAGACAGCTGCATAGCATAATATCACCTCGACTAAAGAGCATTTACGATAAAGTTGCCATGTTGATCTGTAAAACATGTTCATTAGTCGAGACGGTCTTGTACTGTGCACACACAGCTATGTTACTTCGTGTACAATGGTCCTAATCCACACTGAGAGAAGAATTTAGTAAATATTATCAAAATTTGGTTACTATTACTAAATGGTAGACGTAAATATAGCGGGCCAAAGCTATGGCAATACTTATTAATTAATTTAGTTCTGTAAAATAAATTATTTATTTGACAGAAGTAAAATTTATTTGCTTCCAGAATATATTTGGTAAATAAAACTTATTGAATAGTTGAGCAAAATAAGCGATTTTGTAGTAGTTACAAAATTTTTGGTAGGTTCAACCAACCATCTGTAATAATAGATATTGAAACGATGTAATAGCTGCAAATGAATGAATTTTTCGTTGTGCTGCAACAAAACATACTTATACTGGTAACAAAATAGAACTCGTACCTACTGAATTTTTTATTACATGGGATATAACAATTTCATAACAATTATCCAATATCTGCTCATAACTGTAATATATTTCATATTAAATATTTAACATTAAGTAACTATTACTAAATTATTTAATTGATGTTACTGTGAATGCAATTACGTCATACTCCCGATCTATTAAATATTTGGTAATTATTATCATATTTAGTATTAGTTACTAAGGATTCAATGAATTTCTGTAACTAAATGCAGTTTGTTATAGTTACCAGTCTTTTCTCTCAGTGCACGGACACGAGAGACACGAAAATCATATACTGAGAAGGAAAGTGGTTGGATCGACAAAATCATCGTTGGTCCGCGATCATCAAAGAAATGTTGTAACTATTCAACAAAATACGCGTTAGTGCAACAATAATTTGCGTTGATATTACTATATCAATGCAGATATAGCGATAGCAACTTATTGTTGTGTTAACGCGTAAATAAATACAATATTTGATAGATACAATATTTTTCTTATGACCGGTGACCGTCGATTTTGTCGATTCAATCGCCTTTCTTTCTCAGTGTAGGAAATCGAGGCAATTCATTCTTACGCGAGTATCCCAGGGAGTACCGTCTGCCGTTCTCGGCATATTTCTTCATGATTTCGTGCTCTTCCGGAGACCTCAGCAGGTCCCAATCGACGAACAATTGATCGGTGAGACCTCTAATCTGGGAACACGATCGACAGATAACGGCCTCACTTCCTCCCACGAGACTTTCCTATACACTCGATTACTCTAGACTCTCGAGAAGCTAATACAACCGTTACGAAACGATCAGTGTACTTTGTGACTGCTCAAGTGGCACGTGTACAGCTTCACCAAGGCGATACTCGACAACAGGTAGGACGCGAAGGTCGGGAAAATACACGGCAGGTGTCCGTCGCATTCAACGAGCTTCGCTATCTGAAAACAATCGTTATTCACGGAGTGCAGTATCGACGACTCGTTCGCTCGTCCGCGCTTTTGTTTCAGAGACTATCAATTACTTGCGGGACGATCAGAGAAAGTGTGACTAGAGTCACTATAATCAAGCCGAGAATCTTCACTCTTCGTCGCTGGTAGGGCCACTGGCCGGCCAACGATGACACTTTCCTGACGATGCCGTAGTATTGGTCCCAACGGGAATCCATATCAGCTTCGTTCACGGCCACTCGCGATCGACTAACTTTGAAATTTTATTTCGAGTAACGACTCCTGTCACACGCGATAATGCGAGCGTAGGCGTGCATAATGCAAACGCTTGGACTGTGTGTATTTTAGAGTGACTATTTTCTGCTGCACGTTTCCCCAACAGATATTATGCGAATTATAAGATATAGAAAGCAGCTGTTGCACTGTATTTACTACTAAGTACAGGCTGACAATCAACGAAACTCCTCCTCATCGATCAGACAAGCCGAACTCGGTAGCTTCCCTCCTATGTACGCCCACCTACGCACTTAAAACAACTAACTTATCGAACTTCGCAGCTATGCATAAAGCTTGATTTGGAAATGCTTTGCAAAAGTGAAGGTACAACTTATTTCGGAACTAGCAACTAGCAACGATACAGCTGGCAACTTTCCAACATGCATACGATATATATGAGTGCGTGCGATCTTATAACGAAACAATCTGTACAGTAAACGAAAGTTTATTATTTTATTATTATTATTGATGTATCATTATTATTGATATGTCTGCTCTTTGATTGTTGTGTCGTTGGAACTCTCCTTTTCTCACATCTGTGCTTACGAACACTGATGTGACGGGTTTCTTGGACTTAGCTATCGATAGTGTGTCACATCTCATTTTTTAACTTTTATAACAACTACAAGGAATGTAAAGGAAGGAAGTCGTTGATTGTATTGAACGTCGCCTGAAGAGGACCACATCCCATGGTCGAAACGTTGCGCAAGAATAAATTTAAATTTGTATTATTTATTTGATTTGACTTTATAACGTTTAACATCTACGTGTTTGGCTCTTATCGTCCTGAAGACTCACTTATTAATATTTATTATTTTACTTCATTAAAAAGATATGCGCGAGTATGTGTGTGTGTGTGTGTGTGTGTACCATTATACAGGATATTAATGATATCGATCATGGACTACTAAACGGACGTGAGCACTGTGAAGTACGACATCGAAGTCTGTAAAATCTTCGAAACAGAAGAATGTGTTACTGAAGCGACTCCCTGGAGTAACTTTCGCGCACGGAAAAAATAATTTGCTGCAGCAGCAAACTAATTTGCTACATATGGACAGTTAAATATAATCCACTGTGTTAGCTACTTTTTCTTTGCTGTAGAAACCTATTTTCTTGCTATGATAACAAGAAAGTCTGCTCCTACAACAAGAAAAGTAGCTAACGTAGCAGATTTGGACAACTAAACATAATTTACTGCTTTAGCTACTTTTTTTGTTGCAGGAGCAGATTTTCTTGTTATCATAGCAAGGAAATTGGCTCCTGCAGCAAAGAAAAAGTGGCTAATACAGCAAATTATGTTTAGTTGTCCATATGTAGCAGATCTTTTTTTCTGTGCGTAAGTAATTTGTCTTTTTAATTAAGATGATTTTACCGTGGCGAAACTCTCCAGGCAGAAGATGTAAATCTTGCCGGCGCTCAAGAATGTCGGCTGAAAGCTCTGTATCATCACCATAATAATCAGTTTTTGCGATTTCAAGGGTGCTTCGTACCAAGAACTGCTGTATCTGCAATGTTCCAAAGAATTAAATGCCGGGAGAGAAGGAGGGGTATCAAGCGCGAAAATCGAATGATGTTCAAGTAAATCGAAAGCGATCTTGTTCTTACATCTTGTCGCGCGTCTGAAGACTGTGATCCGATAACTTTTGTCCCTCGAAGCTGAGGAAGAATAAATGAAACAGCTGACCGAAGATGTAGAGCACATACTTCAGTATTTTTAATAAGTCGAAATCTTGCGTGATCTTGAGTACGAAAACTGTCTCTTAGATTTTTCTCTGTATATATTAAATCGAGCATAACTTCATAACGAATGAAACAATACATACATACTTGTAGTAAGGTAATGCTAATTCCTATTGTACTTATCAATAATTGTATCGCGAAGGGCATGGTAAAGATACTCTCGAGAAGTTCCGTGAATCTGTGACATAAAAAAAAAACAATGCACCAACGGGAACTGAATTTTCCTAATCGTGTCTAGACATTTCTTTATCTACGAATGGCGACTTTAACTCTCTTATTGTGTCACTGAATGTCAGAAACATCTGGTTACGAAAATACTTTGACTTAATGACATAATCAGATGGCCATTCAACTTAACTACGTGATATACTCACTTCAAGGCTTCTCTGTGCATATTCACAAAAAAGGCAACTTTCTCATGATATATGCTGTCCAAATCAGTTTTTATATGTTCCACCATCTTGTTTTGATTGCAGAATAAACACTCGAAACGATGTCTGCAAAAAATCCGTACATGATTTTGCTTACATCCTGAACAAGATGAAACATTACATTTTTAGTATAGTAAAGGTTTACAAGATTTAGTCGGATCGTCGATGATCTAATTCTGTGCTCGGAAAATATATTATATGTATTAAATGTATACATATATATACATAATATGTATTAAATGCACATTTCGGGCAGATTTTTTAAACGACATCCATTATTTTCTATTTCCACCTATTATATATAGGGTGTCTAAAACATCTTATATATAATACATAAACAGAATAGTAATTATTTATAATTAATATAAATAGTATTTATTTATTTATGGAAATAAGAATTTGTGAGAGAGAGCATAAAAACATTTTAATGACGGTTTATGCTGGAAGATACGATTCCAGCATATTTCTTATATGAGGACGCTCCTGAGACAAAGCGAGGAATAATTTGGCGTCGCTTCAAAAATCTGCTCGAAATATGCATCTAATTCCGAGCACTGATCTAATTGGCTCAAAAGATGCGCTATTTTATAGATGGAGTCAAAACACATATGTTAATGTAACATAAGAAATATGACTAAAAATCCAACACACTTGTCCTCTGTTACTAAATATATCTCGACGTGTTTGTCTTGCATTATGAGATCAAAACAAAAATCATTCGTTTACCCGACCACAGCGAATATGTTGCAAATGCGTTCGACGTAAGTCACGAACATACAATCGTGTGCGACTATTCCGGTCATAAGTATCTCGAAGCCCAGGACAGAATGCCAGAAAATATATAGAAAATAGCGCTTATGATCCACGAAGTAGTACGCCGGGTACGGCATTAGAATAGGACGTGATTCGTTGAGTGGCATTACGATATCGAGTACTCGTGGTATAAGAGATATCGACATGAATGTCCACACACCTATTAAGCAGTATACTGAAAAATATGAAGTATTTTTAAAGGGTGAATGCGTGCAGACGTGCGATGAATCTTTCCCTCCATACTACTCACTCGGATATATCAGGGAGAAAAGTCTACAATTTTCGGCGTACGACTTCGAGATCTCGTATTCCTCAGGACTTTCCAGCTTTACCCACTCGATAAGCAAATGTTCTGTCACTTCTCTAACCTGATAAAACATCCGTTAGTGGTGCATTCTCGTTATCTAATGCCATGAGGACACTCGTGATAACGATGAAGAAAGATCTTTACGCAAATCCAACACGGAAGAGAAGATTGGTTGAATTAATATGACAATGATACAACTAAGCGTGCTTTGCTTGAAGGGAACAGAATTGCTCGCTTTGAAGAGCTGAATCTGGTTCACTTAGTCGTGTTAATTGCTTCACACCAATCTCTTTTCTTCGTGAAGAAAAAGCGTTCGATATTTCTCTATATGGAAAATTGTCAAATTAGAGTATTAGAATCAATTATGCGCGCGACATGGGTAACGCGACAGTTACTTTACGAATGTTCACAATGAACGTGTACACCTTCACCATGGCTACGCCTGTCAATAGGTACGACGTCATCGACTCGAATGTGCACTGCAGGTCCTGCTCGCACGTTAACTGATACGCGATCTGGAAATGTCGTCGATTCCTTGCCAATGGGTTTCTGCTTGTGGCACAGTCAATTAACAAATTTACCTGCGGGACGAATATAGATAACATAGTCACGGTCAGAAAGCCGAGGCGAAAGAATTTGGTCTTCACGTCCAGGAACGGCCATATACCGGTGAGTAACGATAATTTCCGTATGTTACCATAATAATAATTCCATGTGCCTTCCATAGTTCACTGAGAAGTACTGTACGTATCCGATATCACACAATAAAACGAGACACTGCTCTCGCATTCCCTTTCCAGCGACCCGTGAAGAGTTGAATACATAATTCACGCGGGCGAAACGAAGAATACGCCACGCACGCAAAGTGTACGGACTGTGTAAACGACCGAGCGTGTCGCGGTGAGCGAGGGGCGCGTGCACTTGACACTTTGATATTTGCACAGGTAGTCATTACACTCCCTGGCATGATAACATAGTGTCACGACGCCCTTCTAAGCGGAGTGCGTGTCGCTTAGAAGGTTCGTGGAAATTCTCCCCACGGTCGACGAAATGTTTCCCTTTAGCTTCTTTTTTTATAGAGGCAGATATAAGAAAAATACGCAAAGAAGGAATGGGTTAAGCGGGATATAGAGATAGTAAGATATAATAAGTAATTATCGTCGCTCTAAATTATATGATGGTCGTGTGAGTGCAAGTGAAGTGAATTTTCTCCAAAATTAAAAATGTCAAATTTTTCCTCTAGTTTCCTTCCTTCCTTGCTTCCTTCTTATAGATTCTTCTTATATATTCAGGAAGGAACATAAAAGAAGAATGTGTTGAGCAGATAGTAAGATATAATGAACGAGTAAGTAAAGTATGAAGTACTACTGTGTCCAAAAAGTAAGATCAGTTTTCAATTTAAATCGCGCGGGTAGACCGCACATCATAAATATTTTTTTTCTAAGTTGGCAGCATTATGACAGACATCTGTGACAAATTTCATGTCAAAACATTCATTACTTTTTGCTTTACGCTTGGTTTTGTACTACGCTAAAAGTGTATTCGGCGATTTTTACAATGTCTAATTATATTGAGCAAAGAAGTTGCATTAAATTTTGTTTGCGGAATGAAATTTCGAGTGCAGAAACGTTCAGGATGTTGCAGAAAGCCTTCGGGGACCATGCTTTGTCGGAAAGGAATGTTTACAAATGGTATAAACAGTTCAAAAAAGGTCGTGAAAGTGTTGAAGACGAAGAGAGTTCCGGACGACCATCAACCTCTACCGATGAACAACACGTTAAGAAAATCGAAGAACTTGTGCTTGCTAATCAACAAAGAGTATTATTTGAGTGTTATGCGTCATTTGCGTGAAGCTATTCGCAAGAAGAGGCCAGAATTATGGGCAGACAATTCTTGGTTTTTGCATCACGATAATGCACCTTCTCACATTGCACTCGTTCTTCGTGACTTTTTCGCCAAAAATTCGATCCATATCGTTCCACAACCACCGTATTCGCTTGATTTAGCACCGTATGACTTCTAGCTATTCCCGAAACTCAAAAGACCACTGCGGGGAAATCGTTTTGAGACGATAGAGAAGATACAACGTGAATCGCTACGCGCTCTGAAAGCCATCCCGGAAGGCGACTTTAATTTTTGTTTCGAGGACTGGAAAATACGTTGGCATAAGTGTATTGTGGGGAGGGGATTACTTTGAAGGCGACGAAATAGATTTGGAAGAATAAATAAATATTTTTTGAAATAAATAAAAACTGGTCTTAATTTTTGGACACAGTAGTATGAGTATAAATGAAGTGAATTTTCCCCGAAAGTACCGATGCTTCTAGACATTCCAATTGTTTTAAATACGAATTTAAATACGAATTTAAATTTCCACAATATGAAATATATATTCTATGTGGGAAATTTGAATATATTTACATTTAAAGATCAAAATAATAAAAATATCCGATATCATAAGTACGTGTCCAGCAATTACTTTTTTTACTTTGTAAACATTTTTTTCGTGATATCATATGGAAGCGAGTATCTTCTATTACTTCCCATCTACTCATCATGATACCACATATACACGACCAATGGGGAAATGTATATCATTACATTCTGTTGCTGGTCGAGTCGCGAACCTTGGCGATTTACCCTTTGTGCAAAACATATAAATTGGAACTCCCACGAAAACAAATCCTTCTCGCCATCAAATTTTCTCTTCTTTTTTTCCATGAACATATCTCAACAAGACACGTAAAGGGAGATAGGAGTGGATAAGTGAACATGCCTCTCATTCAAGAGAATTCGCGAGCCACTCATGTATCTTTGAAAACGATGCAGCAAACTTTGACAGGAAACAAACAACGCTTTTATACGTATTAACAGTCGTTCAAAAAGAAACAATAAAGATATCCTGTTTTATTTAAATTACAATTAAAGACACGTGTACCACTTCGCACAGCATATCAGTATCATCCACCGTAACTTACTGAAAGGACGAAAGTACCGTAAAGTATGACATCGAAGTTTGTAGAATCTTTGAAAAGAAGAAAACTCATGTTATATTAATAAGGCTTCGAGACAGCGTCTCGGATAATTCTCACTTTACCGTGGTGAAGCTCTGCAAGGAGAAAATGTAAATCTTGCCGGCGCTCAAGCAAGTCGGCCGAAGGCTCTGTATCATTACCAGAATGAGCAGTTTCTGCGATTTTACAGGCGCCTTGTACCAGAAACTGTTGTATCTGCAAAATACGCGCGAGACACGCAAATCGAGCTTGGGAAATGACACTTCGGGGACACGAGACAATTGCGAGGTCAATTCCGGAATAGTGGAAATTCAAACACAAACTAACAGTAACTTCGACGTTATTAATTTCCCACTTAGTAATGTAAATCTAACGTAACGCATGTTGGACATAACACAGTGCTCATTGCCGAATGAGAAATTATAAGATTGACTATGTACTATGTTACTGTTAGTTTTTTGTTTATTGGGAAACGATCGACTCACATTCTGTCGCGCATCTGCAGGCTGTGATCTATCAGCTTCTGTCCCTCGAAGCTGAGGCAGAACAAGTGGATCAGTTGCCCAATGACGTATAACACGTACCTCGTTATTTCCAACAGGTCGGACTCCTTCGTGATCTCAAACACGAAAAGTACAATGTTCTACGTTTCCGCCGAATCCGAGCGTTATTTCACGTCACGACGAATAGATACGTACTTGTAGCAAGGTACTGCTCATCCCCAACACGACGCAGATCAGTTCCAGCGCGAAAGGCACGGTGAAGGTTCTCTCGAGAATCTGCGCGAACCTGCGACAAACATGAGAGATAAAAAAGAAATACTTTCGTTTGTCTCCCCGTTCTTCGCAATTTTATTGATTTCAAACGGGAACGCGTTGCATCACTTCTTTCGTTACTCACTTTAAAGCTTCGCGATGAGTGTGCACGAAGAAAGCGACTTTCTTACGATACATATCGCCCGAATCAATGTTTATGTTCTCCACAGTTTGGCCATGATCACAGTACAAATATTTAAAACGTAATCTGCAAGCGATTTCCACATTCAAAATATAATTTTATTTTATCTTAGAGTCTCAGACTCTCCTCTATAATTTTTGTAGGAACGTAAAACGGATTGAGGTGAACACAAAAAGTCTCATACCGTTTTGCGATATTCGCAATAAATCTCAAGATATTAATTAAATTTAATTAAAGATATTAATTAAATTTATATAATCTAATAATATTAATTTAATTAGAGACTTTAATTAAATTTATTATATTCATTAAAGAAAATTGGTAAATGATCACATGCCATATGGTAGATGAGATGTGTGCTAGTAGCGTAGTCCTTTGATTTATTTTGCAGAGTTTGTTTTGAATCGGCCACGGAATTAACTATAATAGGGTATTCAATAATTTTATTGCATTAATAATTAAAAATCTATATGGTTATTTGCAAAATAATACAGGACTTTTTTATTTAGTTTCATTTAATGTATTAGCATATAACAGCACATATGAGCCATTACAGCTCATCATACTATATCGCGCGTGATGATTCTACAATTTTGATTTGATATTTTAGACTTTCGTAGTGTCCATGCATATTAGATTTGGTTTCCGGGTTTGAGCCGCGTGGACTCTTCTTTGTTCGATTTCAAAGAAAGGGGAATCTAACAAAACAAAGAAATCAAACAAAGAAGAATCCTCGCGACTCAAACCTGGAAACCAAATATAATATTCTGCAATCTTCTTTATTTAATACCTACTGTCGTGAATATCGCAATACGAGACTTTTATGTTCAATCCGTTCTACCTACAAAAATTGCGGAGGAGAGTCTGCAAGTATATCATAAGGTTTGTCTTCGCAGAAGAATTGATATCTCACCCGACCACTGCAAATTTGCTGCAAATGTGCTCGATGTAAGTCACAAACAAGCAATCGTGGGCGACTATGCTGGCCATAATTATTTCCCAGGCCACGAGAGAATGCCCGAAAATGTAAATAAAGTATTCCCTATTATCCACAAAGTAGTATCCGGGATACGGCATCAGTACGGGACGGGATTCATTGAGGGGCCGTATGATATCTAGTATGGGTGGTACAATCGATACCGACATGAACACGCACACAGCCATGAAGCAATATACTGCAAAATGCAGACGCGCTTTATGAGAGGAAAGACACCGAGATTCCCCTTACGAGCCGAAATAGATAATGTCGAATGTTCACCCGAGTATATCAAAGAGAATCGTCTGCAATAATCGGCGTAAGACTTCATGACTTCGTACTCCTCGGCGGTCTCCAGTTCTTTCCAGTCGTTGAACAGGTGCTCGGTGAAAATTTTGATCTGGAAAAGACTCAATCGATGGCAAACTTTACCAGCAATCGGACGAAATAACGAGTCGACCCTTGCGAGAGCGCGTAAATATTTCATTACTAGTCATTAACAATCATAAATGAGAAAAAATATCTAAACTATGAATAATATTTATTCGCTAGAATAAATCACGTACTTGCTTAAACTAATATATTTTTCAAGTAAAAATTAATATTTTGAATAAAAATGTTATTAGCACTCATTGAATAAATATGTTTTATTTCTTAGATACTTTTCCCTCTCAGTGTAATTATCATATTAAAATCATAGTCGAAATTTGATTATTATATGAAGATGATAATTATCATACTTATCATCAAAGATAGTTTATTATCATAATTATCATCAAAGATAGTTAATAATAATTTTATTATTCAGCATTTTTTTCCGCTTGAAGTGCAATTTTATCGAGGTCGAGTACGGCGATGCACCGAGTCGCGAAGCGTACTTTAGAAATGTTTAGTTGGAACGAATACACCTTCACCAAAGCCACACTGGTCAAGATGCACGATGTTATCGACTCAAACATACACTGCAGATCCTTCTCGCAGGTGAACTGTTGTGCTATCTAAAAATACGATGAATCTCTCGCGATAAGCTTTTGGTGATTACGCACGTCTTGACTTTTACCTGCGGGACGAATATAGTTAACAACGTGGCGGACAGCAGAGAGACGCGTAGCAACCTCGCTCTCGGTTCCAGATACGGCCATATGCCGGTGAGCGAGGATAATTTGTAGATGATGCCGTAATAATAATTCCAAGTGATTTTCATTTTTGCCGCGGAAATACTGCACCGTTCTCTGGTTGACTGAGGCTCGAGTAGGTGGTCGACCTCGACCGTAGGGAAAATAGGAACGGGGTGCATTCGATACCCCTCCAGCGATCATGCGTGCTGCGTCTCGCGACATGTGACGATCACGTGCATTTGACAGCTCCTTATTTATATTTCGTGTTTCCAACAATCGATTCTTCCCTCGCTGCGTAACAAGTGCCAATTAGAGTGTCCGAGAAAATAAGTATTTCTGTTAAGAGAGGGTCAAGAGACATTCCCTCTTGCCGGAATCGAAGATCAGGATATCACATGATGGAAAAACTACGCCTCTTAAAGGCGAAAGTTGTTTTTTTACGGAGGTATACCTGCTAGATGCTTGCGATTGGCTATCCCCTCCAACAATAAGTCTACCTTTGGCATATTTGACATTATCGTATAGCACATTGAATCGCGAGAGAGAATAATTTCTTTAACAAACATTTTTTTCGCGATAGAAAGTGAAGAATTTGCATGTTGTGTCGCATCAGTAAGTACAGTTCATTTTTTATGTGAAACTCACGTCTCTGGTAAAAGAAATTGTTAAATTGTATAACTGTTAATCAATGACGAGACACGAAAATTCGATTTGCGCAAACCTGTCTTACTCGAAACATAACGGGGGAATTC